ATCAGCTGAGCTCTCCCCAGACGCTGACTGGCTCCTTGATCTAAGGACTTAGTCTCCAAAACTGTGAAAATAAACTTCTGTTACTTAAGCCACCCACTCATAGTATTTTATTATAGCGGCCCAAGAGACTAAAATATTTGTCTTCACTCCAGGTCAGAATCTCCTATGTTTGGGGGCCAGAAGATGGCATGGTAGTTAAGAGTACTGGACTCCCATATGGTCGAGTCTCAGACCTGGCATCTGGCTTGCTTTCTCTCTCTCTCTCTCTCTCTCTCTCTCTCTCCTCTCTCTCTCCTCTCTCTTTCTGTCCCTTTCTGATCAAATTAAAATAAATAAATGAATAAATAAAGTTAAATGAAATAATTCTTTAAAAAAAAAAAAAGAATCTCCTATGCTTGCCTCTAAAACACCAGTGACAATGGTAATTAATTACTTGCATGATTATACTTAATGCCTGTTCTCCCTACCAGACTCTATTTCTGGTATCTAGAGCAGCATCCAACACACAATAAGCACTCAACAAAAGTATGTTGATTGCTTTCATAATTGTGCTTCTTTAATGTTATAATTAAACTTTAAAAGTTTCTGTCATTCTTAGTCAGAACAGAGTAAACATTCAATCCCAAAGTTGAAGAAAGTAAGCAGTAAGGGATCTTCCTAGGTCCCTATTACCACAGATAGTAATGAATCTCGAGGGAAGCACAGCTCCAACCAGCAGGAGAAGGGTGAGAATCTCTAGATGGGTTAATTTTGAGCTCTGTACCTTTGTGTTCTCTGAGTTTCCTTGGAGACTAAACAGAGCCCCAGATAGTCCAGGCCTGGGGCCAGTACCACAGGGACCAGGAGTCTGCCATGATAGTTTATCCCAGAATCCTCAATGCCACCATAGCCCTGCAAGGACATATAATTCAGAAGCCTCAACTGAAAGGTCATATGAATCCACAGCAATTGATGTCTGTCTCTCCTTTAACACAGGAGGGATGGGAGATAATTAATGAAATTTCCCCCAGGAAAGTGACCCAGCAGGACTGACATGGCAGCCTCCTAAGAAAGTGGTCAACCAAGAAGGTCCAGGGAATATCCAGAGACAGCTTATTTCTGGGGAAACCTAGGCATCTGTCAGGGACAAGAATGTCAGGGAGCATTGCTAAGGGAGACTAGGTGTTGGGAAACATGCAGTTTGGAGACATATAGTACACAGAGTCTGGGACCTGCCTGTGTTCGTGACGCGCAGACCATGTTACAACTCTGGAGCTTCCTTCACTTCGCAACCCTGGTGAGTCCTCCAAGTGTGGTGCTCAAGCGACATCGTAGACCCAGGAGCTTCCTGTGAAAACCAGGAATCTCCATCATTGGAACTGCCTTGGAAGGCAATAGAGCACCTCGCATGATAGTCAGTCAGGTAATCTTGGTGCAATTGTTGGAATAAGTTTTGGAGGAATGTTGGAGGCATAGAAACCTGCCTTCTATTTTCCAGTGTCCACAGGCAAGCTATGGCACAACTAATTTCTTTGACTTATTCATCATTCTCAATATCCTCATGTTCAGTCAATGAGCGAGAGAATCCTAAGGCTTTTCCTACTCTTCTCGTGGACAGCTCTTTGTCTCCCTTTATCTCACCTAACATGTTCCATCCAACTCCTAACCCAAATGGAATCACCGTGCCAATTTGTTTTGTAATTTTAGATTGTTCTGTGCAAAAAGAATAAAAATAGTAAAAAGAGGAAAGAAAAGTCCCGTAGTCCTCCCAGCCTTACAAGGCAATTATGTTCATTTTTCTATGTCCTTATCTAGTCTTTCTCCCTGATAAATGCATATTTTATTTAGCTGTAAAGTTGTGTGTTACGGGACCAGCAGTTAGCATAATGGCTATGTCGCTGGACTCCCACGTAGTCAACCGTGGTTCGAGTCCCGGACCCGGTGGCTTAAACTCACGCCAGGCGTGTGTGCGTGCGTGCCCAAGATCCCGAGAGGAGACTGGAGGAGAAGGGATTGCGGCGTGGCCATCCCTCCTTGGGGGGGTGATTTCCTGCTTTCTGTCTCTCTGTCTCTCTCTGTCTGTCTAGTGAGCGCACACGCCCTATAGCAAAAATCTCTCCAAAAAAAAAAAAGTTGTGTGTTACCATCCCTCTGATTCAACTCGATCACATTAGCTCCTAATTTTAGACAGGTTAAGCTCTTCTCTACAGACGTTTTACCTTAACCTATCATTTCTATAAGAAGCACCAATGACGTAATTGCCTAGTTTTTTATCCTGATCTGTAAGAACGTAAATAATGTAAAAGCTAGAAATGATAATCATTTGAAGTAAACATACATGTATCCTCTTACATTGAGATTTAACCAATTAGCAACTCTGAATATCAGCAGTTATTTTTTAATTATTACTAAAGAAATTATGCAAAAATATTTAAGAATAATACCTAATGTACAGATGCATGCTCTATCTTCTCCCTGTTTCAGTTTCATAGTACACGTATCCCTCAAAACCTGTCAGTGATGTACTAACCAAAAGTTTAGAGTAACATGCCGAAACTTTGTTATAGTAATAAATAGGAAGGGAATAGAACAAAATACACAATGTATGGGGTCAGCATGTTGTGTAGTAATTAAGGTGCTGCACCGCCACGTGGCCAACTGCAATTCAAGTCCTGAATCCAGTAGCTTGAAGATCATGCCAGGTGCATGTGTATGCATGCCCAAAATCCTGAAAGGAGAATGGAGGTAAAGGTATTGCAGTGGGGCCATCTTCCCTGGGGGGTGGGGAGTAATTTCTCATTTTCCTTCTCTGTCTCTCTCTCTCTCTCTCTTGTGAGCACAAATGCGCCATGGCAAAAATCTAAAAATAAATAAATAAATAAATTTTCAAAAAGACATAATAAGGACCAGCAGGTTGCATGGTGGTTAAGGTGCTGGACACTCTCACATGGCTGACGACAGTTTGAGTCCTGGACCTAGTGGCTTACTTTCTCACTTTCCCTCTCTCCCTCAGTGCCTCTCTCTGGTCAAATTAAAATAAATGAATGAATAAATAAGATAAAATAATACATAATATATGAGCATAGCTATGGAAACCAATAAATTAAAAATAAATAAGAAAAATGTAATACCAATACATCAAAATCTTATACATTGTCTCTCTGGGGCTATGAGTGATTCTTTTCATTATATTTCTCTGTACTTTCTAAACTTTCTATAATACAATGAGCTGATAATATTTTTATACTTTTAAAACTTTTTATTTAGGAACCAGCAGTTGGCGTAATGGCTATGTAGCTGGACTCCCATGTAGTTGACCATGGTTCAAGTCCTGGACCCAGTGGCTTAAATTCATGCCAGGGACATGTACATGCATGCCCAAGATCCCAAGAAGAGAATGGAGGAGAAGGGATTGTGGCATGGACATCTCCCTGGGGAGTGATTTTTTGCTTTCTGTCTCTCTGTCTCTCTCTCTGTGTCTTTCTGGTGAGCACATGCGCTCTATAGCAAAAACCTCTTAAAAAAAACTTTTTATTTAAACTGAAAATTAAAGAAAGGAATCATGTACATGAATTCTTTCACCCATGAACAAAGCACCAGAGACACAGATCCTTTTGCTCATCATGGTGGCATAAATTGAAATTTTTAAAAATTTTCCTTTATATTGTCAATGGGCCAGGAGGTGGCACAAGGGTAATGCAACCTAACCCAAGTGGGAGGGTTCCGAGTTTACATACTGGGACCTCTCTGCACACTCCAGACACTCTTGTAAGCCTGTGACGGACTCATCTAAGGGTATGAACACCCTATTGGGGACGCCTCACTCTCTCTCTCTCTCTCTCTCTCTCTCTCTCTCGATTCCTCCCATGTAGGAATCCAGTGCCTTAATCACCACCCAACCTGCTGACACAAAATGCAAATATTTTTAGAGACTTATTAATTTCATTCCATTTATCATTATTGTTATCTTTTAAATTTGTATTAGGCATGTGCACTCACGAGAGCCAGAAAGAGAGCAAGGGAAAGTGAGAAAGCAAGTCACCAGGTCTGGGACTTGCGCCACAGTCGGCCATGTGGGAGTCCAGTGCCTTTACCAGCACATCACCTGCTGGCCCCAGGATGTAAATTTTTTAAAATAATGTGCTAGACCTGGAAGCTTGTTTTCTCACTTTCTCTCTCTCATGACTGCACATGCCCTGCAACAAATTTCAAAATTAGTAACAATGATGAATAAAATTAAATAATTTTTTAATAATGTGCTAATAATAAAAAAAGATAAATTCTAGGGAAACAGCAGTTAGCGTAATGGCTATGTCGCTGGACTCCCACATTGTCGACTGCGGTTCGTGTCCCGGAACCGGTGGCTTAAAACTCACGCAGGGCACATGTGCGTGTGTGCCCAAGATCCCAAGAGAAGAATGGAGGAGAAGGGATTGCAGCGTGACCATCCCCCCGGGGGGTGATTTCTCACTTTCTGTCTCTATGTCTCTCTCTGTCTGGTGAGCGCACGCTCCCTATAGTGAAAACCTTTCCAAAAAAAGAAAAAAAGATAAATTCTATATCTTTGACAATAATAAACCCTAGTAGCCCGAGTGCCAATAATGTAGCATGTGCATATTTCTGTTTTCATGTGCATGCATTATTTTAAGTTTTTATTGCATCCTAGGAGGGAACATCAAAATTCATGGAAAATGGAATTAAAGTATAGTTTATTTTGATGAAAAAATTAAGGAGAAAAAGAATTGATAAAGACAAAACTATTTCAAAAGAATCCCAGAAAATGGAGTAAAATTAGGGGAAAGTATATGACTTGATGCTGGCTCAGTGAGGACACTTGAATAAGTCTGAAAAATGAGAGCAGAAAATTAGTACCTGCAATAAATAAAAGACTTCTTCTGTCCCATAAATACAACACTAACAGTTCTTTTATTCACTTCCAGGTTGTCTTTGGATCCCTAGGATCATGATTCCTCATGCTGAGCACCATAGATCAGCCCTCCCCGGCAGAAGTCAGAGGAGCCATGGGGAACCGCACCACTGTCACCGAGTTTGTGCTGATGGGGCTCTCAGATGCCTGTGAGCTGCAGATGCTCATCTTCCTGGGGCTCCTCCTGACCTACCTCCTCACACTGCTGGGGAACCTCCTCATCGTGGTCCTCACCCTCACCGACAGGCGCCTGCACACCCCCATGTACTACTTCCTCCGCAACTTTGCTGTCCTGGAGATCTGGTTCACCTCAGTCATCTTCCCCAAGATGCTGAACAACATCCTCACTGGACATAAAACCATCTCCCTACCAGGCTGCTTCCTACAAAGTTTCCTCTATTTCTCCCTGGGCACCACAGAGTTCTTCCTGCTGGCAGTGATGTCCTTTGACAGGTATGTGGCCATATGTAACCCCTTGCGTTATGCCACCATCATGAACAAAAGGGTCTGTGTCCAGCTGGTGCTCTCTTCATGGACAACAGGATTCCTTCTCATCATTGTTCTGAGTTTCTTCATGTTTCGGCAGCCATTCTGTGGCCCCAATATTATTAACCATTTCTTCTGTGACAACTTTCCTCTCCTGGAACTCATATGTGCAGACACAACTCTCATAGAGCTTCTGTGTTTTGTCGTGGCCAACTTCAGCTTGCTGGGCACTCTGTCCGTGACAGCCACCTGCTATGGCCGCATCCTCCACACTGTCCTGCGCATCCCCTCAGCCAAGGAGAGGCAGAAAGCCTTCTCCACCTGCTCCTCCCACATCATTGTGGTGTCCCTCTTCTATGGCAGCTGCATCTTCATGTATGTCCGGTCAGGCAAGGGTGGCCAGGGAGAGGACAGGAACAAGGTGGTGGCATTACTCAATACCGTGGTGACCCCGATGCTCAACCCTTTCATCTACACTCTGAGGAACAAACAGGTGAAGCAGGTGTTTAGGGAACAGGTGAGCAAGCTCCTTCATGAAGCTGTGGAACGAAGAGGCAGAAGCTCGTATTTCTAGACATGCTAATAGGACATAGATCTCTTGAAGAAACTGGACCTTTCCATTCAGAGGAAGCGCTGACGATAAGTTTCTGCAAGATCTGTTTCTGTGGTGCCAGTCACTTTGCGATTCGGCATGAACTCAGAAGCTCTTGGGACTCTTAAGGCGTTTTTATCAATTCCAAGATTTGAACAGTCTGTTCATTCCGGCAGTGTCTGCCTGGCTTCCCAACAGAACACAAGCTCTGAGAGGCAGGAGCCAGCTCTGTAATTCCCATGAGCTTCAAGTATCAATCCATTGCCATAGACCTCATAGACAATAAATACCTGCAGAACGATTAAATGCTTAATGTGTGTTCCTCCATCACCCTCAGAGAAAGAATAGTTCTCTATTAGCACTGTCTTTATTTACACTTAATAGTTCTGTTACAGAAAAATATAAGCAAAAACTCAAAATCTCTATAGCTAGTATAATTGTTTGTTTTGCACATAAAGTTATTTCTGTTTTTTGATATTAAAATTCATATAAATTCTGTATTCCTGTTTATGGAAGCTCTTCCATCAACTAGTTATATTATTTCTTTGAGCTCCAATTTTCTCATCTGTAAGACTAAGATGACAATATCCACTTCAAAAGATTATAATAAAAGTGACCAGCAGTTGGCACTATGGTTTAGGCTCTGAATTCCCACATGGCTGACCATGGTTCCAGCCCAGGACCCGGTGGCTTGCTTTCTCACTTTCCCACTCTTCTCTCTCTGTCTCTCTCTGATGAGTCCATGTGCCATGCAGAAAATTTAAAAGTAATATTGATTAATTAAAATAAATATTTTTTTTTTGGAGAGGTTTTTCACTATAGGGCGCATGTGCTCGCCAGACAGACAGAGAGAGATGTAGAGACAGAAAGCGAGAAATCACCCCCCAGGGGAGATGGTCACACCACAATCCCTTCTCCTCCATTCTCCTCTCGGGATCTTAGGCATGCAAGCACACGCGCACGGCATGAGTTTTAAGTCACCGGGTCCGGGACAGGAACCGCGGTCGACTACATGGGAATCCAGCGACATAGCCATTACGCTAACTGCTGGTTCCCAAAATAAATAATTCTTTAAAAAAGATTATGTTAAAGTCAAACGGCAGGGGGGCGGAAGGTACAACAGGTAGCACTGGTCTCCCACATGTTCAACTGTGGTTCACATTCCAGACCCAGCAGCTTGAAAATCATAATGGGCATGTGTACGTGTGTGCCCAAAAATCTAGAGAAGAATTGAGAAGGGATTTCAGCATGGTCATTCCCCATGGGAAGAGAGTTCTCACTTTCCCTCTCTGTCTCTCTGGTGAGCGCACCTGCCCTATGGTAAAAACCTTAATTAAAAAAAAAAAAAAAAAACACCTTAAAAACGAATTTTTTTTGAAACCTTAAAAAATGACTGGCTTAAAAAAATAAATAAATAAATAAATAAATAAAAAACACCTTAAACACGATATTTTATTGAGACCTTAAATAGTGACTGGCACAGAGTAAGGCCTCAGTAATGTTAACTCCTTTACTCTAATTCTCATCCTACTCTTCCTTTCCTCCTTTTTTATTTTATATCAGTTCTCAACAAAAGCATTTTAGAAGATTTTACATTCAAAATGTTAATTCATATCATTTAGTTCAATACAGTGTTTGACTTACTGCAATTTATGACTAAGATGTTTACTGCTAATGAAGTCATAGTCATATCTGTAAATGAACAAATATTAAACAACTAAGTAACCAAAGTCATCGACATGCTAATACCTTACAGCATCATTACTGTGCAAATGCCATGTTCAAGGAAATACATTATGCGGTCTAGCAGCTAAAATCTATGCCTTTGAGTCATTTGATATTTAATGAAGAAGACATAAAGTACCCAAATAACTATCATTCAGGGTAAAAATTATGACATAAGAAAAATCATGTATATCTATTCAAAAACAAATTTGACAACCAGGAGGAAATGTATTATTGTCCAGCAAAAGACAATTTTCAAAAACTGAAATAAGGAGAAATAGAAACCTCAACTGGACAAATTACCATAGAAAAATATCAAAATGGGATTATATAGTTTCTGTACTTCAAAAACTATGTCTTTCATGTTAAACATTAAAAGCCAGGCCAGAAAGAACTATCGCATGTTTTCTCTTATATGTGGAAATTGAAAAAATATTAAAAATACGAATACAATAAAACAGCCTCACACAGGTAGAGGGATGAAGAATAACTATTAGAGGTTGAGAAGGATCAGGTGAGCATCTATAGAGGGATGTTGATTAATGGAAGGAACATTGCTGACAGAAGGAACAGCTATTTTTATAATACATAGTGGGGAGAATACAGATGGCAACAACTTGCTGTGTATCTCATAGCACTAAAAGGGAGAATTTTGAATGTTCCCACCACAAGTAATGACAAATGGTTGAGATAGTACATATGCTAATTACCCTGCATGAATCATTACACATTGTATTCTTTTTTTTTTTTTTTTTTTTTAAAGGGTTTTTTTTTAGGGGGCTTTGCTTTTTCTCCGCACGTGCCCTATAGCAAAAACCTCACAAAAAAAAAAAAAAAAAAAAAAAAAACATAGTGGGGAGAATATAGATGGCAGCAACTTACTGTGTATCTCATAGCAACTAAAAGGGAGAATTTTGAATGTCCCGAACACAGGTAATGACAAATGGTTGAGATAGTGCATATGCTAATTACCCTGCATGAATCATTACACATTGTATTCTTATACTGTAAAACCATGCTGTATTTCCACAAAGAGGTACAATGATTATATATTAATAAAAATAGTTTATATACTATACCCTCAACAACAACAGCAACAAACAAAAAAGTGACTGAAATCTATAAATGGCCAATAGGTTTAAGAAAAGCTGTGCAACATCACTAATTGTTAAGGAATGCAAATAAAAACTACAGTGAAATGCACTGTCACTTCACACTCATAGGATGACTTTTAAAAGGACCCAGAAAATAGCAAGTGTTGTCAAGAATGTTCAAGAATATACAACTATTAAAAATAAATGAATAAAAAATAAATAAAAAAGAATATGGAGAAATCAGAACACGTTTCCATTTCTGGTAGGAATTATAAAAAATGGTAGAGGGAACCAGCAGTTGGCGTAATGGCTATGTCGCTGGACTCCCACGTAGTCGACCGCGGTTCGTGTCCCAGACCCGGTGGCTTAAAACCCACCGCGTGAAATAAGTCTATCATAAAAGGACAAATTTTGTATGGTCCATTCATATGAGGTTCCTAGAACAGTCAAATTCTGGAAGAAGGTTAGATGATGGTTACCAGCGGCTGGGTCAAGAGGGAATGAGGAGTTCTTGTCTAACAGGTACAGAGTTTCAGTTTGGGACTACTAAACTACGAAAGTTCTGGAAATGGGTAGTGGTTGTAACTGCGCGACAATGGGACTATACTTGCTACTGAACTGAATCATTAAAAATGGTAAAAATTTTATGTTAGGTGTTTTTATTTATTTATTTTTTTTGGAGAGGTTTTTGCTATAGGGCGCATGCGCTCGCCAGACATACAGAGAGAGACATAGAGACAGAAAGCAAGAAATCACCCTCCATGGGGGATGGTCACACCGCAATCCCTTCTCCTCCATTCTCCTCTCGGGATCTTGAGCACGCACGCACACGTGCCCGGCGTGAGTTTTAAGCCACTGGGTCCAGGACGCGAACCGCGGTCGACTACGTGGGAGTCCAGCAACATAGCCATTATGCTAACTGCTGGTTCCCAATGTTAGGTGTTTTTTACCACAATATTTTTAAAATTCACATTCCAGAGCAGAAACAAAATAAAACTATGTCCTCTTGACTCCCCGCTTTTCTCATATATCCTATAGCAAATCTATACCCAAATTCTGTGGTTGTTCCTTCAAAATATATACAGAACCTTGGCACTTCTTCCATCACTGTCATCTTTCTCCACACCATCTCCCATTTCCTTCTGGGTCTCCATCTCCTACCTGCCACCCCTACTCCATCCCCCGACAATGAGACTATACTTGCTACTGAACGGAATCATTAAAAATGGTAAAATTTTTATGTTAGGTTTTTTTTTTACCACAATATTTTTAAAATTCACATTTCAGAGCAGAAACAAAATAAAACTATGTCATCTTGACTCCCCACTTTTCTCATATATCCTACAGCAAATCTATACGCAAATTCTATGGTTGTTCCTTCAAAATATATACAGAACCTTGGCACTTCTTCCATCACTGTCATCTTTCTCCACACCATCTCCCATTTCCTTCTGGGTCTCCATCTCCTACCTGCCACCCCTACTCCATCCCCAGAGGCCTAGAGAAGTTAGAAGCCACGGATAAGGGAAGAGGGGGCTTGCAGAGTTCAGACAGATGACATCAACCACACATACCCTTTCTCTCTGAAGACCTCCTGCCTCAAGCAGGCCTCAGGTAAAGCAAAGAAGAAGTTTTAACTTAAAATGAAGTTCAGAATTTTACAAAGAATTAGATCATTTTATCATCTCATTCTTTGAAATGATAGTCAATGGAGAACTTGTACAATTATATGAATGGTCAGAAAAATCACCACACCCGTCCCAAATTTCATCCACAGGTCAAGGAAGAAATAAATACATGAGCATGAGGTTCAAATGAGGATGCAGACCAGGAGCAAAGTGGAGAATACACATTAAAAATAAAGGGTTATTAACTATGATATGCAGAGACAAGGAACCGGTAGATCGATGAGCTAAGTTATGCAGACACCTCACAGAAATGCAAATATAAAGCACCACTAAATAAAAAAAGTCCAACTGTATTAATGGTCAAGACAATTCAAGTTAAAATAGCATTTTTTAAAAGAATTATTTAATTACTTTATTTATTTATTTATTTATTTAACTTGCTATAGAAGACATGTGCTCACCAGAGAGACATGAGAAAGCAATTCGTCAGGTCCAGGAGTTGAACCACAGTTGGACACATGGGAGTCCAGCACCT